GGCGAGGCTCGCGGACCCTACCAACTTTCCGCGGATGCCGGCGCGCGGGCGCGGCCGGCCGGCTCCTTCCCCGGCTCCGCCAAGGGCCCCCGCGCTCACGCAAGAACTCCAGTCCCAGTTTTCCTTCCCGGGGCGCAGGCCTCAGCGTGCAAGATGTAAGCAGGGACGCGCAACCCTTCGTAGTTGTTTTTGTTCCACAACAGGACCATCAACTGCCGGCGGGTCATCTGGGCTCTGGTCGGAGAGTACTTAGAAGACAGAGTCCGAGTGGCTGGGTCGGCCCTGACCCGAAAGTGGAGGCTGGAGACCTGCTCTTGGATGTTTTAGGATGACCAGGCTTGGTGAAGTCGGGTGTCGCCCATGGAGCGAAGTGGGGCCCTGACAGGCTAGCCCCCTGCCCTGGGGGTACCCTCTCTGCCGGCACTGAGTTCCTCTGGGGCTTTACTGCTCTCTCAAAAGTTTTTGAAGAATTTTCCCTCTGTATTTCCCAGGACCCGGCTCAGCTGGCTGCCGAGGGAGGGGCTGGCTACAGTATCCTGCGGTTTAGGATGATTGTAATGATAAATAACAGTACTAATGGCCCAACTTTACCAGGTGCCTTGTTGGTGCCAAGTCACGCGGGACATGTGATCTTATGTAATCAGCACAAAACTTCAAAGTAATAATGACAAGAGCAACTGTTAATATATCCAAGCGCTTTATAAGTATTAGCTCAGTTAATCTGGACAGTAACCTCTGAGGTAGGTGCTATTATTATCCCCATTTTATAGATGAGAATACTGAGGTACTGACTAGTGACAGACTCACCTTAAGTCACAAGGCTGCAAGTGATGAGTGAAACTGGGATCTGAGCCCAGGAAAGCTGGCCCAAGGCTTTGTGCTTGCAGCCTCTATGCTATGCTGTGTTGCCATTGTCTTGTAAATGAGGAAATCGATGCTCCCAGAGTTAAGTCATTGTCCCTAGTGGTGGAGCTGGAATGTGAACCGGGTTCTGAGGAAGAGGGACTTGGACAACAGAGTGAAGCAGCCAGGCTTCCAGTGAACCTGAAAATCCGCACTGTGGCATGCCTTTTCACAGAGTCACCGACTTGGCCGACTGTGGTGGGAGGTCTGACTGGCAGTCACACTTGGGTCTTTGGGCCTGGCCAGCCCTCACAGCCTGTGTAGAGCCAGGTGTGGTAAGCGGGATGTGAGGGGCACAGTCAGGATGCTGCTGCCATGGGTAGCCTTTGGCTTGGGGGAGTGTGGGGTTTCTCCACATCTGCAGATAGAGGTGCGTGCTGGTCCCTTGAGGGGATAGCCTGAGACCCTACCTGTCTCAGCTCTCTAGTGCTGCTTTAACAGAAACACCACAAGCGGGTGGCTTTAACAAACCGAAATTTATTTTCCCACAGTTTAGGAGGTGAGAAGTCTAAATTCAGGGCACTGGCTCTAGGGGAAGGCTTTCTCTCTCTGTCGGCTCTGGGGGAAGGTCCTTGTTTCTTGGTTTCTTGGTGATCTTCATGTGGTGTGGCATCTGGCTTTCCCCGTCTCTGCTATGGCCTCTTAACAAAGAAAACCCATCCCCAAATGGGATTATAGTCACAGGTATAAACCAAAAAAAGAAAAAAAAACCCAAACCTTTTGCCATTGAGTTGATTGCGACAGAGTAGAACTGCCCCATAGGGTTTCCAAGGAGCTGCTGCTGGATTTGAACTGCCAGCCTTTTGGTTAGCAGCCGTATGTAGCTCTTAACCACTACACCACCAGAGTTTTCATCTGTATGCATACACCTATATATACACACATATATACGTACCCACCAGCCGCTAGGCAGGAGAAAAATGTGGCAGTCTGCTTCCGTAAAGATTTACAGTCTTGGAAGCCCTGGGGGGCAGTTCTCTGTCCTCTAGGGTCGCTATGAGTTGGAATTGACAACAGTGGATTTGGTTTGAGATTTTTATACACGTATATGCCTACATGCATGCATACATATCCGCACATACACAGTTTGGTTGTTTTTGCTGTTGTTTCATAATTGTATGTTCCATAGCAATTACCAACAGGTCCTTTTCTCTTGTGTACTCTTTAGTGACATCATTTACCTTTGTCAACCTGTGTACACTTCACCGTCATTCGGTGGTACCTTTCCCATCACCAAAAATAACAATTGTCTGCAGTCTAGAGAGTGAATTCCCCTCCCCCAACCCTGGTAACCACTAATGAACATCAGTTTCTGTATATTGTCATTTCATAAAAATAAGATCATACAATATTTGTTTTTTTGTGATTGACTTATTTCTTCAACATAATGTCCTCCAGGTTCATGCATGTTCCAAGGTATTTTGGGCACTCATTTTGCTTTATCACTGAGTAGTATTCCCCTGTATGTATGTACCACATTTTCCTTATCCATTCTTCTGTTGATGGGCGCTTAGGTTGTTTCCATCTTTTTGCTTTATGAATAGTGCTGCGATGAACCTAGGTATGCATATTATAGGGGTTAGGATTTACAACACATATTTCTGGGGGACACAGTCCATACCAGTGCCCTCCCCACCCAGCCATCTCCAGGGTTAGGTCTGACTGCACCTCGTCCTCACCCAGGCTCCTGATGGCCTTCCTAACTGCAGGTGTTGTCAGAGAGGGCCCCCCAGAGATGGGACTCTTGGGGGTCCAGGACATATCCTCATGTTCCAAGGAGACCTTAGGAACGGTAAGAATTGGAATTTGAGATCCTTTAGAGCCCGCCGTGGCGATGCCCATGGCCACGTCCTGGAATAATGGTGGTAGCAAGCTTGCCCAGCACTCGCTGCAGCTGCACACCCTTCTCAGTGCTTCAGAAACGATCCTCACCATTGTCCTGAAGGAGGCCTGGGTACAACGCCTGGTACCACGCCTGGGCTCTTAACTGCCACACGCTCCTACCTCTCCATTTCCAGGACTGAGCGCGACCTGACTGGTCAACTTGTCCCACCCCTCATTTTACAGAAAAGAAAACTGAGGAGCAGAACATTTACTAAAAGCCACTCTGTAGTCTGGAGTTGTGGTTAAGAGTGGTCTTTGGAGCTAGATTGCCTAGGTTCATATTTCAGCTCTGTTGCTTACTGTGTGAGCTTGAGCAGGTTCCTTAAGGTCTCTGTGCCTCAGTCCCTCATCCATAAAATGGGCATGAACATAGTATAAAGATAAACTGAGGAACTGTACCTAAGGCACTTAGAACCATGCTTGGCATATACTTAATACCCAGCAAACGTTAGCCCTATCAGCAGGCAAGGTGGTATGATTGTCCTGAATGAGAGAGTTTCAGGCTGTGTGCTTAATGTAAACACACCATCCCCCAGGCTGGGTCTGGAAGCACCACTGCTGCCTGCTCCATAAACACTGGGTCCTACCGCCATGGAGTTTTAAGACGTAGAGTTGTATTTCTTTCAGAGATTTAGTTGTCATGCATCCAGACTGTCCTAATAAGAACAAGATTTTCGCTTCGATTGATACAGACGGTTGGCATTCCTTATCAGCATAGAGGCACCTGGCCTCCTAAAGTGAGTGGGACCGTTTCTTCAGGGCAGAGGGTGAGTGTGGGGCACAGAGCCCCCAGGACACCACTGCCCAGGTGAGAAGGGAGGGGCTCCTGTCGTATGCTCTCCCCACAGTTTTCGGGGCAGGCGAGGCGGGGTGCCTCCTGTGCTCCCTGCACCTGGGAGTGGCCACCCCCTCCCTGCATCACTCTGAGTGGGTCCTGCACTACTTGGCTACACGGCCGTCCTTCGAAGCTGTTTTCACAACAGTGTTAGTCCTTTTCAGACCATTGTCCAAGTGTGAACAAGAGGTTTGACCCTGTAACTCATCAACGGCAGTTTAAGAGCCACTTATAGGCAGGACCAGCTATGCAATTTACAGGATCCAATGCACAATGAAAATACATGGGCCCTTATTCAAAAGTTGCTAAAATTTACCTGTGTTGACAGCAGAGACTAACCCAAGCTTGGGGCTGACCTTGCTCCCAGCGCAGGGTGCCTCTCACTTCCTTTCGCCCCACCTCCCCAGCTCTCAGGCACGCAAAGTCATCTTTTCTGTTGGAGCCTTAAACTCCCTGTGCAAGGCGCTGTTTTCTCATTTTCAGATGAGGACACTGGGGCCCCAGAGCCTCCCACCTGACAGAACCAGGTGCTTCGTCCTTGTGTCTTCTTTTCTCTCTAGCTGGCTCATGAGGCCCAGGGTGGGCTCCCAGGGCTGGGGGAACAGAACACGGGCTTGTTGAGGGAATGGGGTTCACTGCAACAGGAGTCCTCGTCCCTATGGCTTAGTCGGTCTCTTCCCTCCCCATCTTTGTCATATTCCTCCTTAAGAACTGGCCTTGGGGGCCCCGGTTGGGGTGGAAAGTCCCCCCTGAGGTCCATGTACAGATGGGGGGTGGCTGTCTTGATCAGAGTGCAGCTCACCAAAGGGTACTGGTCTTTCTCTTTCCAGATTGTGCCAGGCCTGCCACAGGGCCTTTGCACAGGCAGGGTCTGCTCCCAGGAAGGTCACCCCTCCACTGCTGAACTCAGCCTTCAGCTCATGATCACATCCCTAGGATCTCTTTCCCGCCCCACAGAGTGGATCAGGATCCCACCAGGATTGTCGTAAGCCCTGTACTTGTTCTCCATAGCCTTGACATTGTTGCTAGTTACAGACTCATGTATCTGTTTCCCGATTCACAGCTGCCTTACCCAAAGGGCTCTCAGCAACATTAGGTCAAGGGTATTGTTTTCTTCTTCACACAGTACCCGGTGCTTGATTGACGCTCAGCAGTCATTTGTTGACTGGATAGATGAACCCAGCTGGGCGTAAGCTAGAGGGAGCAGAAACGCCGAGCGCCCTGCTTGGCACCTCAGTTCCCTGGAATGCAGTCAGACAGCAAGAAATTGTGTTCTTCCTCAGGCCAGAATGCTTTCAGCGATTCTTCCTAGGCAGGGGAAAAAGGAGCCCTGGTGGCACAACATTTAAGCGCTCGGCTGCTGACGGAAGGGTTGGTGGTTTGAACCCATCACGTGACTCCGTGGGAGGAAGACCCCATAAAGATTACAGCCTAGAGAACCCTGTGGCATAGTTCTACCCTGTCACATGGGTCGCTGGGAGTTGAAATCCACTCGACGGCAGCTGACGACAGGCCAGGAAAGGGGAGAATCTGCCCCTGCCCGTGGCGGCTTCCTTTCTCTTAGCTGGTGTCGGGGTGCCTGAGAGCAGCCTGGGCCCTTTGCTCAGCTTGCTGCTCTGCCCTGCAGGTAAGCACAGGTCCTTCAGCCTGAGGTACAGAAAGAACAGGCCTGGACTCTTCCTTCCCCGGCCCTGTACGGACCTGCAGCTGTCCCTTGAGTTGCCCTTGTATTCCCGTCGTCCGGACTCCCATTGGGTTTTCTCTGCTGAGCCCCCTGGGGCCTGACATTGCAGGGGGCAGAGCTGTATGATGCCTTCGGTCGTATTATGTAAATGGGATCCCGTCAGCTGATGTTTGCTGGGTGCTGCACCCTCTACAGCATTTTCCCCCCTGCTTCTCATGGTGCCCTTTCCCAGCTGAGTGCGATGAGCTGTCTCCTGTACCTGGAGCATCAGATCCCCTGACTTGAGAGCTGTGTGCCCTGGCAAAGCTTTATGACCCTGTGGGGGCCATGGACATCACCGCTGCAGCACACACCACCCATCCCTGGTGTTGACAGTGGCTGTAGACACCTAGGCTGGTGGCGAGTGTATGGGCTGAAATGAGACCTCCTGTACACAGGGCCTTTGCATGTCAGTGGGAGAAACAGACGCTAAGAGAGTAAGGGGCGAGGTGAAGGCAGAGAGGCGTGCAGATAAAGTGAAATAGGAAGTTCAGCTGGAGAGATGGTTCAGTCAGTCCATCCGTCTCCACCAGAGCTCCAGTAGTGGGCTGCGGAAGTGGAAGAGTTACTGGTTTGCTTCTAGCATGGAATCTGGCCCCGTGGTACTGGAGCACTTGGCATGTTCTCTTGGTCTCAGTCACTATAAATAATCGCTCCTTCACGTGGCGTTAATAGGAGGAGACTGGGGTGTGGGGTCTGGCTGCACTCTCAGCCCACCCATATTGTTTCAATTTCCTGCCTTCCCCAGCTTTTCTTGACTCCCATGGGTAGCCCTCGGGGGCGGATGAGGTGGACTGAGATTCTGAAACCTAACAGCTGTGTTTCTGCTGCTCTCCACTGGCTTGCGAGCCACGAGGCCCTGTTGGCAGGGGATCGCCTTGTTCCCGGGCTGCATGGGTGCTCATCGGGGCCAGTGTGGACTTCATCCAGGGCCTTAGCAATCGGGAGGAGGTCCCCTGGACTGACCGCTGCCTGTTATTTACTCTGGCACGTGGTGGGTGGGATGCACGATGACGGTGGGGGCCAGCCCCTCTTCTTTTGCCCCACGTGGCTCTGTCTGCAGTGAGGTGGGCACTAGGAGCCTGCTCTTTCCTGGAGTTTCCGTGGGACTGCAAGTGTGCCCAGGTATCTCTGGGCTTGCTTTCCCCTCTTCCCTGTAGACATATAAGGCATCATTTCTGCCCACAAGGGGCTTGGAGTCTAGTTGATCATCAGCCTCTTTCTTCTGAATTTATTTTCTATTCTTTTAAAGGTAGCAAAAGACTATCATGATGTGACAGGCTGAATAATGGCCCCCAAAGATGTCCACTTCCTAATCTCCCTAACCGACTTGGCGGATGTGGTTAAGTATCTCGAAATGCAGAGATTATCTTACATTATCTGGTGGGCTAGTGCCTGACTTCTAAGAGATGACCAAAAAACTGACCCCCAAATCATCTCTCTCAAGGTATTTATTAAATCGGTAATGGAAACCATAAAAGGGGACGGTGATGTTGGCCTTTTGGCCTGGATGTCACGGCGAAGGATACTTTCCACAGGACTTTCTCCCTCCTTCCCCCAGGGCCGCACCTGTGTTGACCGGCAGCCTCTTTGTCAGGTGTTCACATCTTGATCCTTTTTTATGTGTCCCGCTTGCTTAGTTGAAGCACTAACCAGGGCTCAAAGTTTTGGCAACTTTGACATCTAGAGTGCAGGCCCCTTATGTGACTAGAAGGTGACCTTTGGGGATGCCCCCAGGTATACCTGCTTGTGCAGCGAGGTGGTCAGTGAACAGTGCACCCTGGTCTTGTCCACCTTGCAGTGCTGGGGAGGGGATGGGACTGGACAGAAGGTGGTTCTGGGGCACAGTCTGCAAAGCGTTGTTTTCTGAGCTCTGGCCTCTCCTGCCTCCCAGTGGACAGCCCCACCATGAATGCCACTGAGCCCCCGTAAGCTCCAGGAAGCCCAGCCACCTCACCTAGTCTTTGGGAACACCTGGGAGACAATGACCCTCTCTGACACACTGCCGGTCTGGCTGGTGTGGGTAGGCGTGGGGGCGGCACTGCCAAAGGCCGCTTTGGGAGCAGAGCGGCCACTGGGGTGGGCAGCCCTTGCCCGGGGTGCGGGTTCTAACTAAGAGGCTAAATGGCAGGAAGTAGTGGTTGGGTGGGCCTGGAACTCAGAAGCATTTTGGGGGTGTTGGAGATTCTCTTATCCCTCCCTCGTCCTGGGGCCTGTTCTTGATTTCTGTGTTTCAACTCTGAGACCATAGACCTTGACTCCAAAGACACAGCAAGAACTGAGAAACCCCCGTCGTCCAGCTCAGTGGCACTGTTGTGGCACCCTACTTGGCTGTCCTGCTTCTCTGTGTGGGCTACAGTTGAAGTAGCTGAGCAGGGAAGGGGCCTGGACAGGCAGGGCCATGGTGCGGAAGGCCCTTTGTGGACCAGGGCAGCTCTGGGACCCACAGTGCCGAGTGGCGTCAGGCAGAAGGTCAGGCAGGGGTGGTGGGGGTTGGCAGAGGGTGGGATATGGGCTGGAAATTTTTAAGAGATTTAAAAAATCCAAATTTTTATGTGAAGTCTCTTGAATTTTAAATATCAGCAAATTAAAAATATTTATAAATAATTAAATTAGTTATAAATAAATATTCATAAATAATTAAAACTATTAAAAAAAATTCGTCTGGGTCCAGGTGCCAGTGTTTGGAATCCATGCAGACCAAATGCCTCATGTTACCCCCTGGAAAACTTCCGTCCTTCTGTCCCCACGAAGGCGGAGGGGAGTGTGAGAGCATTGGGCAGCCTGCCCTCTTGGCAGCGCAGGTCATCCAGGACATTCGCCACCTGGGGGCTTCCCTGGGGCATTTCCGTACGGAGAAAAGCCAGCAGTGTTCATGACCGTCCTCCTTCCCTTTTCTCTGCAGAGGTCTGTGGGGCCCTCAACGTCACCGTGTCCCCAGGGCCTGTGGTGGACTACCTGGAGGGGGACAATGCCACTCTGTACTGCCACGTGTCCCAGAAGCGGCGGAGAGACAGCCTGCTGGCGGTGCGCTGGCTCTTTGCCCTGCCTGGCTCCCAGGAAACCTTGATGATTAAGATGACCAAGCTCAGGGTGGTACAGTACTACGGTAACTACAGCCGCAGCGCCAGCCGGCGGAGGCTGCAGCTCCACGAGGAGCAGCGCGGGACGCTGTACAGGCTGTCCGTGTCAGCCCTCCGGCCCACTGATCAGGGCCGCTACATCTGCAAAGTCCAGGAAATCAGCAGGCACAGGAATAAATGGACGGCATGGTCCAATGGCTCCTCAGCTACGGAAATGAGAGGTAAGGACGAGGCCCATCTCTCTGGGGGGATCAGTGGACCTCCCTCTTGTCCGCCAGGCAGGGCCTGCAGGATGGTTCTGGGAGCTAGAACACAGCCTGTCCCATCTATGGAGCACAGCCACGTGAGTCAGGCCACAAGGATGCAGGATACATCTCTAGGTGGACATGAGGGCTGATGTGTGTTGTAGACACGAACGCAAGGACAGAATGGAGCAGGAGCCTGCCTCCCACGCTGCCCAACACAGCCTCTGGGCAAAACCTTTTTTCATGTCTGAAAGATTGGGATGGTGTGTCCTGGCCTCCCACCCAGGGCTGTGCAGCCGGGATCTCTTTGGCTGGGAGTGCTGGGCACCTGGGGGAGAAGGCACAAGAATGTGAGTCTCAGGCCTAGGAGCAGGGCAGGCTGGTGGCTCTGAACCATTGCCCAGAGGAACTGATCCAAGCCTCAGACTCACCAAGAAGTTCATCGGGAAGTGGGCAAAAGCCCAGAGGCCCAGAGGTATGGGCCACATTTCCAGAATGTCTTAGCTGCCAAGTGCCATATTTGAGTTATAATTTTTTTTATCACAAATGTTCTTTAAGAAGACACATCTCACAATTTTAGTAAGACTTTCCATTATGCACTAAAATTATATCTTTGGTTGCTTTGAACTTGAATTTGATCTGGCTTGAACACAGTTGAACTTGAATTGTGGTCAGGAGAATCACAAAGTAAAACAGATCATCCCAAATATGAGAAATAATCTAATTTTGTCATGTGCATGTAATGTAATATTACAAGCCGTAGTGATGTTGTTTTGATAAACTTTAAAACAATTAAAAAAATATATTTTATTTTATTTTTGGTGGAAGTATACATAGCAAAACACACTCTCATTCCACAGTTTCTGCACATAATGTTCGGTGACATTGGTTATATTCTTCACATTGTGTCAACATTCTTGTTATTTCTGTTCTGGTTGTTTTTTTCCCATTAACTTAGACTCACTGCCCCCCAAGCTTCTCATCTCTGCTTTAGAGTAACTGTTGTCCATTTGGTCTCATATAATTTTTTTAAAGAGTGCGGTACTCAAGGGTGACTATCTGTACTTTTTGAGTTAAACCGTTATTTAGTTTAAAGGTGACCTCAGGGGATAGTTTTGCTTCAAGGTTTAAAGAGTATTTCATGGCAGTAGTCTTGGGGATTCCCGCAGCCTCAGTGGGTCCAGAAAGTTTGATAAACTTTTTGAAGGGATAAAAGTCAGTTACGAAGTGGTATTTTAATGCTCTATATATGAATAAGGGAGATTTTAAAGTAAATAATTTAAATGGATGTTCTTCAAAGTAGTCAAACTTGTCTTTGGAGTTTGCTTATTGTAACGTCTTAAGCGCAGAATGATGTATTACCTAAAATGTGCATTTCTACTTCAGGAAATTAATTCAAGAGTTAATTATTAGTATAAATATGTATTAGGTCACAGAAAACAAAAAATACATCGGATGACCAAGGGCTGTGGAGGGACTCCAATCTGAATAGTACTTGGCTCATTGAAACATAAGATCTTAGATACTATGTCTTTTTTGTTTTTATATCACAGTAAATTGTGGAGCCATGCCCTAAATCCCTTGGCAGTGACTGTGCTCTGCCAGTTAGAATATATAAAAGGTTCACTACATTCAAGTAAGTAGAATCATCTGGTTCATTATTCACTGTGAATCTGCTGTCACTGCGTGAAGCTGGGCTCCTTCTAGAGTATTTATTTGGGTACTTGCTCCAAATGCCTCAGGTAGTTTGTAAGACTTCACGGGAAATAAAATTTTTGCCTTTCCTCTCCCACTCCCTTCTTCCCCTTCCCTTTCTCCACTTCCTCTGCTTCCTCCCCTTCCCTCTGTCCTCTAAAAATCCTGTCTCACCTTCCTCCTCCTCTACTTCCATCCTGTGTTCTTATCTCTCCCTCTCCCCTTCCTCCTCCCCGTCCCTTACCTCTCTCTCCTCTCTTCCCCACTCCCTCCCGTCTCTCTGCCCCCATTTCTGTCTCTTGCTCTTCACTCTCCCTCTCTGCTTCTCCCTCGCTCACTCGTCTGCACCCTGCACACCCTCCTGGATCTCTCACCTCCCTGGGAAGAGGTCCCACCTCGGCAGAGCTGTGTCTCTGCCAACAGCTCTACCGTGTTTTTGCCTCCAGCTGACACAGGTCCTCAGCCTCTCTTGGCAGGGCATTGTTTTCCTGATGGGAAGATTCAAAGTCTTAGGAAGCAGTAATCATACCTTCTAGGGCTTCCAGGGGGTTATGCCCAGGGAGTTCAGGAAAGGTAACTCCAAGTAAACCCTGGAAGCCAGCCCAGCCTGAGTTAGAGCAGGCCTGCCCCAGGTGGGGGTGATGTGCAGAGCCCTGGGCCAGCACCCTTCCTGGGGGACTGCGGATAGGCCTGTGCCTCCGGCCCCAGGGTGCCCTCCCCAGGGCCCTTGCCTTGCTCATCTCCAGGGGCTTGGCGCATATCTGGCCTCAGGCCCTGTTGTGCAAGACCTCTCCTTCATGTTAATAGTTGTGACACGGAGAACAAAAATAAACAACAGGGAAAGGTTCTGTGGGCAAATGTTTGGGTTCAGGAGTGTTGAATAGGAACGCTCAGGGGTGTGTTTGGAGTGTTTTTCCCCACTCGGCCTCGTGCGGTTAGTTGCTGTCCAGCAGACCCCAGCTCAAGGCAGCCTGACGTATAACAGACGGAAACATTGCCTCGTCCCACGCCATCTTCATGATTACTGTTACGTTTGAGTCCATTGTCGCGGCTACTGTGTGGTGCCTTCCAACCTAGGGGGCTCATCTTCTAGCATTGTATCAGACAGTGTTCTTTTGTGATCCATAGGGTTTTCACTGACTGATATTTGGAAGTAGATCACCAGGCCTTTCTCCCTAGTCTTAGTCTAGAAGCTCCTTTGAAACCTGTCCACCATGGATGACCCTGCTGGTATTTGAATACCAGTGGCATAACTTCCAGTATCACAGCAACACACAAGCCAGTACAGTACAACACACGGACAGACAGGTGGTGGAGGCCCCATAGTCCCTCTTTTCTAGTGTTCTTACTTTGCTTTCCTCTTTCCTACAGGCTTCTGAAGCCATCTGTGGGACAGGGCAGCTTTCTTGGAAATTCCCTTCTAATGCCACACCCCCTACCCAGTGCACTGCCCCTGACAGTAGACTTAATGGTGTTCTCCTTCCTGCAATGTTCTTAATGACTTTAGCGTGAAGTCATGGAAGTAATATTGCTGGGTCCGAGGGTATGTATAACCAGTTTAATGATTGATAAATATTGGTGAATTGATCCCTAGAATACTTATAATGAATTTATATTCCCATCAGCATTGAACACACCTTTTTCCCATGATCCACATAGTATGTGTTTTTTGAGGGTGATGAGGATGGTGACAATGAATGGAGCAGTGCCTGGTGCACAGCTGACCCTCAATAACTGCTTGTTGAAGGAGGAAAGTGATTGTTGTGAGGTGGTGTTAGCATCTTTTGCTGTGGATGACTTTGAGATAGGCATTTCTTTGCAGGTGCTGTAACCGTCTCTGGAAAGCTTCACCTGCCTTTCCTTCACTGTTGTTGTTGCTGTTAGTTGCTTTCGAGTCAGCTCCAACTCATGGGGATATAGGTTTCTTACAACAGAACGAAATGCTGCCTGGTCCTATGCTGTCCTCATGATTGACATGCTTGAGTCCATTGTTGTCTTCCAACCTAGAGGGCTCATCTTCCAGCACTGTATCAAGCCATTATTCTGTTGTGATCCATAGGGTTTTCAGTGGCTAATTTTTGGAAGTAGATCACCAGGTCCTTCTTCCTAGTCTGTCTTAGTCTGGAAGCTGTGCTGAAGCCTGTCCACCAAGGGTGACCCTGCTGGTATTGGAAATAGCAGTAGCATAGCCTTCAGCATCATAGCAACTCACAAGCCACCACAGTATGACAGACTGACAGATGGTTGGTGTGTCTCTCCTTTGGCCTGTCCTATTTGTGCATCTTGTTCGAGATCCCATGCCCATCCTTCTTTGTCCTCCAGGTCACCTGTGGCATCCTGTCACTTCTTTGGCACCGTTCAGACAACATTATGTTGGCACTCCACTGTTTTCTGTAAGCTGCCGTGGCACAGGCGTGATGTAAAAAAATATATTACAACATAAAACACTCAGACCGCGTAGAAACGGAATGTGCAAGTCAAGTCAGTCTCTCCCCTTCCCCCCATCCTAGTAATATCCCCAGTTCCTCTCCCATTCCCAGAGGTAGCCATTGTGAACAATTTGGTTTGCATCTTCAGATCCCTCTCCTATGTACCGGCATTCATACACACCCACACACCCTCACATAGATATTTTAACGGTAGTATACTTACTGTGTTATATGCGTTGTTGATGATACTATATGTGTTGTTTTGTAACTGATATTACATAGTGCAGCAATACCAAACCACATCCAATCATTCCCCCAGTGATGGATGTTTAGGAAACTTCCAACTTTTCACTAATACAAACAGTGTCCTGGTATACCTTTCTAAGTGTTTCTATTGGTTAGATTCCTAGAAGGGGAATTGCTGGGTCTAAGGCTATGCAGATTTAAAATTTGAATAGACAGCGCCCAAATGCTCTCCAAAAAGATCACACATTTATACTCTGACCATCATTACATGATAGTGTCGAGCCTCGTTAACACTTAACATTATTAATCTTTTCTATTTTTTATCACAAAAATGGGAAAAAAATTTTTCATTGTTGTTTTTGTATTCAGTTATTAGGGATATTGAGCATCTCTTCATATGTTTACTGATTGTTTAAAACATTTCTTCTATAATTGCTTGTTCATATACCTTGCTTGTTTTTCTATTGGGTTGCTGTCTTTCTAACAGATAATTATGTATGTACATATATATATTTTCTGATCTTGATTCTTTAACGGTTATATACAGAGCAAAATTTTCTTCTTGTTTCTTAATTTTCTTTCAACTTTGTTTATGCTTACTTTTAC